TACAAGTACGCAACCAACTATAAATCAATCCAATCTAATAACTGTTTTTTTCCCGCTTTTTTATGTTAAATTATTTTAACTCAAAATAATAATTGGAATAACTTTCTGAAATAAAACATATATCATACGCCTAACAAAACGATATACCATACGATAGATGAAACGCTAAACCATACGATAAACTAAACGCTAAACCAGACGATAAATGAAACGCTAAACGCTAAACCATACGATAAACGAAACGCTAAACGCTAAACCATACCATGTTACATACGACAAATAAAACGCTTAACGATACCATGAACCATACGATATACAAAACCCTAAACGATGACATTTACCATACGATGAACGAACGATGAACGAACGCTGACCGAACGTTGTACGAACGCTATACGAATGATGTACGAACGATGACCGAACTCTATACGAACGATTCCCGAACGCTGTACGTACGATTCCCGAATGAAAAAAGTGTTAACTTTTACGTTACAGGGACTGTAACACAACATCCAACTTAGGACTAAAAGCTGAGGGCACAGCAATCCAACAGGTAGATAAATTTACTTATGTAGGAACTGTGGTTAGTACAGAAGATCCAACACAAAAAGATATTAAAAGTAGGCTAGCGAAGGCAAGATCTGCATTTCAAAGACTACGACTCATTTGGAAGTCCAAACAATACAACAGGAAAACAAAGATAAGGCTATATAACAGTAATGTTAAATCTATTCTCCTGTATGGAAGTGAATGCTGGAGAGTAACAAAAACAGATATGAGATCGCTCTCAAGTTTCCACCACAATTGTCTGAGGCGAATCTACAAAATCTTCTGGCCAAACCGGATTTCAAATGAACGTCTCCTTGAAATGACCAAATCCACATGTATCCTCACGGAAATTCGACAGAGGCGCTTCAGATGGATGGGGCATGTACTCAGGATGCCTATATCCAATATAACTATGATAGCTCTTAGATTGACGCCCCAGGAGAAGAGATTAAGAGGAAGAACCAAAACCACCTGGCGACAAACGATTGAAGCAGAACTGAAGGAGCTTGACATGACCTGGGGAGAAGCCGAAACAAAGGCTAAAGACAGAGCTGGATGGCGAAATCTTGTGGTGACCTTATGCTCAGCCAGGAGCGAAGAGGATAGGTAGGTAGGTAGACTAGAAATACATAAAAAAAATCTCTAATTAAATTGTTTTAACTGATGAGTCTTATGAAGACGAAACACTCATCTAACGTATCAAATTATAAGCCTGGTACCTTTGATAATGATTTACACCACTGGGTCTATGCCACTTGTGGTGGACGTTTCGTCTCCGAGAGTTTAACTAGCCCAGTAGTCAGCACTTCAGTGTTGACTTGTATATCAATTATATGGTCATTTTTATAAATTTCCTGCTTGCAAACGTACGACTTATTCGAAATACTAAGGATTTTCTTATCCCAGGCATAGACTCTCTCAGCCGTATTTGGCACAACTTTTTGGGATTTTGGGTCCTCAGTGCTCTTCAACTTTGAACTTGTTTGGCTTTCTAACTATTCACTGATGAGTTTTATAAAGACGAAATGCGTGTCTGGCGTATAAAATTATAAGCCTGGTACCTTTGACAACTATTTTATGATCATTCAACCTGCAATGGATACGAACACGTGATAGTAAATGAAAATAAACTGTTTTTCGTTCTCTATGTCCGTGTCTGTTTGAGACGTTTTGGATTTTAATTAACGTAATCTATGTATTACTGGTAAATTATTAGGTTAGGGATTTAGTTACCACAAATTACTTTAAACCTTTACTAAATTCTTCCATAGATATAAAGATTTCGTTTTGAAGTTTGGTTGTACCTGTAGAAAACTTATTTCAAATGGGAAAGCCCATCCTCATGTCTACGGAAATGTTGTTTACTGTACTGTTTACTATCGGATTTTAGTAAACGGTTTACAAGTCCAACATACCATCTTAATGGTACATTTTCAAATTGCTCGTTGAGCTTCGTGCGTCTCTCTGTTGCAGATATGAAATGTCTATACCTGGCCGTTTAACTCACTTCGGGAGAGCCAGCATCAAGCAGTTGCTTTTACGCGTTCCGTTGATTGATAGCTTTTGTTAGCTTTAATAGACTTCCCCTTTTTGAATTTGTCTTGAAGTTCAGTATTGATGTTTTACTTTTTTTTTCTGAATGCAACTATACCCGAAACTAATGTAATTGTTCAATAATACAGATCAAAGACCCTGTCTTTCGAAATGGAGAAGTTCTTGGTCATAAAAGGGGCGTGTGCTATATAAAAACAAGCAGTTGTAGTATTTGCTGTGAGCTGGATATAATGTTTTTTAAATTGAATTTAGTCGTATTACAGCAGTTGTCATTCTCTTATACACAACAGTGATCAACGAAAAGGTAGTTATATTTAAAAAAAACTCAATGAGAAATATGCATTCAGTTTAATGCATGATTAATAATTAAATGATATGGTTAATTTTTCATACTTTCGACCAACCAAACTAACAAGTTATTACAAATCTATGAGCTGTCACAACATTTATAATTACCAAAAAATGAAGTAACAAGTCATGAGAGAGGTGGAAAGGTACAAACTAGGGATATTAGGCATCAGTGAATGCAGGTGGATAGAGTCAGGAAAAATTATCACACAGGGTCATACCATCATTTACTCCGGCAGAAATGACAACCAACATACAGAAGGAGTGGCAATCATTATGAATAAGGAATGTATAAAGAGCTTGATAGAATGGAAACCTATAAATGAGCAATTGATCAGAGCTCGCTTTAATTCCAGCTATGCCAAGACAACACTTCTTATTATAGGAGACCAAAATGCTAAGGTTGGGAAAGTAAATACAGAGCATGAAAGAGCTATGGGAAAAGAAGGTCATGGCGTAATGAATGAGAATGGAGAGAGACTTGCAAATACGTGTTCAACTAATGGATTAGTTATTGGAGGAACCCTTTTTAAACATAAAGACATACACAAAATTACGTGGAATTTCTTCAAACTACAGGGACAAAAATCAGATTGACCACATCATCATAAATGACAAATGGAGACGATCATTACTCGAAACCCGAGCATTAAGAGTAGCAGATGTGAACAGCGACTATCATTTAGTTATAGCTAATTTCGAACTGAAGCTGAAAAGGGTACCGGACAATAACAAACATGGGAGAAAGATCCTCAATATCAACCGTCTGAAAGAACCTGAAATCAAACAAATGTTTTGTCATTGAACTCAGAAACAGATTTCGAGTATTAGAGGAAATTGAGCAAACTGAAGACAGTTCCATAGAAAAGATATAGGAAAACATCAAAGAGGTGTATCGAAACACAAGTGAAAATATCATTGGCTTCCGTAAGAGCAGCAAAAAACAATGGTTAACATCAGATACATGGCAAGCAATTGATGAAAGAGCAAACCTCAAAGAAAAGGTCCTCAGCACTAGGTTATCAAGGAAAAAAGAACAAACACAGAAAGAATATGCAGAGAAAGATAAGGAGGTAAAGAAACACTTCAAGGCTGTTTTGAATAGACCAGAACCAATAAATGAATTTCAGGGAGCACCACAATTTCAAGATCTAGATATTAGCACTGACCCACAATCTAAAGAAGAAATTACAAAGGCAATTAAATCCATGAATTCAGGAAAGGCAGCAGGCATCGATGGGATTCAAGCTGAACTACTGAAAGCTGACATCAACACAGAAACAGTCATACTACATGATCTCTTCAAAGACATATGGGAAAATAAGAAAATAAAATCCCTGATGACTGGGCAAAAGGTCTTATCATTAAACTAACGAAGAAAGGCGATCTTGGGAATTGTGACAAATGGAGAGGGATAACATTACTCTCAATCCCAAGTAAAGTGTTTTGCAGAGTACTGTTAAACAGGATAGACTCCGAACTGGATGACAGCCTAAGACAGGAACAAGCTGGGTTTAGAAAAGGGAAAGGATGCATTGATCAGATCTTTGCTCTTAGAAACATCATTGAGCAGTGTATTGAATAGAAGACACCTCTATATATCAACTTTATTGATTTCAAGAAAGCATTCGACAGTTTACACAGAGAGACAGAGAGGACAATCCTTATATCATATGGAGTACCATGTGATACTCCAGAACAAGGAAACTGACTGGTTTGAAGTAAAATCTGGAGTACGACAGGGCTGCTTCATCTCACCCATCTTATTTCTGGTTGCCATTGACTGGGTGATGCGGAAGACCACCAGTGACAAAAAAAGAGGCATCACATGGTCAATGTTTACAACCCTAGAGGACCTTGACTTTGCTGATGATATAGCACTGCTGTCATCAAAACAAGATAATATGCAGGAAAAGAGAAATCGGCTCAGCCATTTTGCAAGCCAAATTGGACTAGAATTGAACGCAAAAAAGACTCAAGAAATGCGACTTAACACAACATCCAACTTAGGACTAAAAGCTGAGGGCACAGCAATCCAACAGGTAGATAAATTTACTTATGTAGGAACTTTGGTTAGTACAGAAGATCCAACACAAAAAGATATTAAAAGTAGGCTAGCGAAGGCAAGATCTACATTTCAAAGACTACGACTCATTTGGAAGTCCAAACAATACAACAGGAAAACAAAGATAAGGCTATATAACAGTAATGTTAAATCTGTCCTTCTGTATGGAAGTGAATGCTGGAGAGTAACAAAAACAGATATGAGATCGCTCTCAAGTTTCCACCACAATTGTCTGAGGCGAATCTACAAAATCTTCTGGCCAAACCGGATTTCAATTGAACGTCTCCTTGAAATGACCAAATCCACATGTATCCTCACGGAAATTCGACAGAGGCGCTTCAGATGGCTGGGGCATGTACTCAGGATGCCTATATCCAATATAACTAGGATAGCTCTTAGATTGACGCCCCAGGAGAAGAGATTAAGAGGAAGAACCAAAACCACCTGGCGACGAACGATTGAAGCAGAACTGAAGGAGCTTGACATGACCTTGGGAGAAGCCGAAACAAAGGCTAAAGACAGAGCTGGATGGCGAAATCTTGTGGTGACCTTATGCTCAGCCAGGAGCGAAGAGGATAGGTAGGTAGGTAGACTAGAAATACATAAAATAAATCTCTAATTAAATTGTTTTAACTGATGAGTCTTATGAAGACGAAACGCTCATCTAACGTATCAAATTATAAGCCTGGTACCTTTGATAATGATTTACACCACTGGGTCTATGCCACTTGTGGTGGACGTTTCGTCTCCGAGAGTTTAACTAGCCCAGTAGTCAGCACTTCAGTGTTGACTTGTATATCAATTATATGGTCATTTTTATAAATTTCCTGCTTGCAAAAGTATGACTTATTCGAAATACTAAGGATTTTCTTATCCCAGGCATAGACTCTCTCAGCCGTATTTGGCACAACTTTTTGGGATTTTGGGTCCTCAGTGCTCTTCAACTTTGAACTTGTTTGGCTTTCTAACTATTCACTGATGAGTTTTATAAAGACGAAATGCGTGTCTGGCGTATAAATTTTATAAGCCTGGTACCTTTGACAACTATTTTATGATCATTCAACCTGCAATGGATACGAACACGTGATAGTAAATGAAAATAAACTGTTTTTCGTTCTCTATGTCCGTGTCTGTTTGAGACGTGTTGGATTTTAATTAACGTAATCTATGTATTACTGGTAAATTATTAGGTCAGGGATTTTGTTACCACAAATTACTTTAAACCTTTACTAAATTCTTCCATAGATATAAAGATTTGGTTTTGAAGTTTGGTTGTACCTGTAGAAAACTTATTTCAAATGGGAAAGCCCATCCTCATGTCTACGGAAATGTTGTTTACTGTGCCCCGGACATTTAGAAACGATCCTAGTAAATTTATCGATCCTTTAAATACACTTATTCTAAAAGGTTACCAATTCAACACTGTAATTAGATCTTTGAATATTGTTTTTATTGGTATCAATAAAATTGAGAATGGAAATGGGGAAACTAAATATTATTGTTATATACATATGCACATTCATGGATCTAAAATCTGTCGATACCTGTCTTTTGTCATTGCACAAGGTCATGTTTTTCTCTGACTGTTTATGACATCTTTACACTAAATCCATTGGATGCTGGATGTGTAATGATTGATAATTAAGTCTTAGATACATGATTTTTGTTATTAGTTGTTATTAGCTTTGAACTAGCTGTCAGTTACTGAGAGTACTCTCAGATCTGTACTTCGTGTCTTTTTGTTGTTGGAATGTACATGTACCCGGCCACGTCCACTCTGTGTTTTTGTTAGATGTATTTCTATTTGTATCCATCTGATGAGTAAAGCATTTTTCAACTAATTTTTATAAAGATATAAGAAGATGTGGTATGAGTGCCAATGAGACAACTCTCCATCCAAGTCACAATTTGTAAAAGTAAACCATTATAGGTCAAAGTACGGTCTTCAACATGTTGTACTGTTACACCACTGTCTCAGGTTAGGGGAGGGTTGGGATCCCCCTTACATGTTTAACCCCGCCACATTCTGTATGTATGTGCCTGTCCCAAGTCAGGAGCCTGTAATTCAGTGATTGTCGTTTGTTTTTCGTTCATTGTTTTGTACATAAATTAGGCCGTTAGTTTTCTCGTTTGAATTGTATTACATTTGTCATGGGGCATTTTATAGCTGACTATGCGGTATGGGCTTTGCTCATTGTTGAAGGCCGTATGGTGACCTTTAGGTGTCAAACCACCAGTTCACTCCCTCCAATTTACACGGTGGGTAAGGTTTTCCTGCGAGAGAACGTTCTGTGCTGGTGCTGGTGGGTCCTGATTCTGTGTTGTATAGGGTATGTCAAAGAACGTCTCGTCTTTTTTCTAAAAAAGTTCATCGGAAGGTACCAAGACCTTGTTGATAAATATTCCGTATCAACTTCACAAATAATACATGATGGTCTTGAAGTATAGATTCTGCATACTGACGTTGTTTATCATCTTAACAACGTGTAATATTGTTCTTTCATTTGTCTTTGTTCTATTATTAATACTACTTTTACTGTTTGGTTTGTTTTCTGTGATATCCATTTGACGTGGCTAGGTACTTATACATCCCGTCAATGTGTTTGTATTATCTTTTATTTTTGCTGGTGTGTTTTGTATATGCGACGTTTTGTGTTTCTGTGGTTCTTATAACGTGACTCTGTACTTTAAAAGATCCCGGCATTATGTTATTGTTCTATTATATGTCATTATGTTATTGTTCTATTATAAATTTGAAAATACTTTGAACGACAAACGACAAATTTATTTTACTCGCGTAGTGGTATTAACCATATGTGGATTCTTAAAAATTCTAAAGAACTTCTGGACAATTTTAAATCTCGGTCTATTTCTGAAATTAATTCTAACATAACTTTTGATTTTTTAACCATGTATACCAACATTCCCCATGTGAAATTATAAAATTATTTTGAATAAACATTGAATGACAAACTTTTTTCTTATGTGACGTTTACATTTTCTGACGTCAGACACGCAAAGCAATGAATGTGGTTTTTAATTTGATAGATGCTTTTGTGCTTTTTTGTAAATAATTGTTTGTTTTGATATTGTAACACAGTGATGACTGCTGTACCCATATTTTGACTATTTTATTTATAATGTCTGTTTTGTTCACGCATCGTTGTAAATATAACGGAATTTGATAAGACTGTCGTACAAGTGAGAGGTTTAGCGCTATAAAACCAGGTTCAATCCACCATTTTCTACATTTGAAAATGCCTGTACCAAGTCAGGAATATGACAGTTGTTGTCCATTCGTTTGATGTGTTTTGTCATTTGATTTTGCCATGTGATTAGGGACTTTCCGATTGAATTTTCCTCGGAGTTCAGTATTTTTGTGATTTTACTTTTGGCCATGAGTATTAAAACAAGTTAACTGACCAAGTAAATCACCAATCCCGCTGCAAATGGTTGCACCTGTCCTAAGTCAGGAATCTGATTACAGTAGTTGTCGACTGTTTATGTAGTTCATACGTGTTTCTCGTTTCTCGTTTTTATATAGATTAGACTGTTGGTTTTTCCGTTTGAATGGTTTTACACTAGTAATTTTTTGGGGCCCTTTATAGCTTGCTGTTTGGTGTGAGCCAAGGCTCCGTGTTGAAGGCCGTACCTTGACCTATAATGGTTTACTTTTATAAATTGTAACTTGGATGGAGAGTTGTCTCATTGGCACTCATACCACATCTTCCTATATCTATATACATCTACCGTTTACAATTCGTATTTGATTACTTATGCATAAATCAATAATCTCTTTCCCTCTACTATCAAGTATCTCATCATATTTTTTTCTATATCTAATATGATTATTTGGTTTGTATGATTCGAACAATGGAAGATATCTGGGGCTATTTTGTGCTATGTAATCATCTTCAGTGGAGGTGCGAGCGTTTAAATCACCACAGAACATGATATCCCCCTTATTTTTGTAAGAAACTATGTCCTTTTCAATTTGATCAATTATATCAACATCTAACTTCTTAGTATAAGATGAATTGGTTGGGGGGACATATGCTGTACATAGATAAATATCATTTTGAAGACAGAAAAACTGTTTTTCAAATTGTATCAACTGAAAATCTTTGGACAACCCAGGTAATATTTTAATATGATCTTTTAAAGATGTCCTCCGAAAAATGCCTAACACACCATAGTATCTGTCATTGGTTGAAATATTTCTACAAACAGGAAAATAATTAAAACCTTCAACATGTAAATTTACATTATATCCAATATGTGTTTCTGCTAAAATAACTACATCATACTCTTGTATTTCTTGTGTAAAAGTGGATCTTCCAACTTATTCATATTATAATACCACCTATGTTCCAGTAACTGTAAACATATTTTTAAATTGTTCTTCACAATAGAACGGCCATGAAAAGCCATGTCAAAAAAAAATCTGAAACACTGAAATTACTTGTAATATATACAATATTTATTAATTATAATTGGAAATAAAATATACTACTTATAATGTATGAAAATAATGAGAAAAACCACAACAAAACAAAACAAAAAAAAAACCCAATGAATTAGTCTCTTAAGAAATTGGCTATTTACCAACAACAAAAAAGTAACCACTTGTTACTGACTATTTATGAACTTTTCTTTTTTTTTCCAAACAGATACAAATATTACTTGACTTAATCAAGATCAATATACTAGCTATTAGCCAGAGTTATAAAATACCTTACGGATTTTATGTAAGGAAAAACAAAAGAAAAGATTGTACAATATTTTATCCTGGTTTACCCCTTCTGTTGTACTTGACCTTTTATATGTATTAGAGTAAATTTAATTTGAAGTAGGTAAATCTGTATGATATGTGTTCCTTTCTTAAACATTGTGATTCAGTGAATATAGTATTTTACATTCACCCTCATTCATATATGACTATGCGGTATGAGTTTTGCTCATTGTTGAAGGTCGTATGCTGACCTATAATTGTTAACTGCTATGTTATTTGGTCTCAGTCCGGTGGAGAGTTGTCTCATTGGCAATCATACCACATCTTATTTTTAGCAGATGGTTCCTTGACTAATTCGTGTCCTTTTTAACATTTGTGTTAGCTGTGGAATCGTAACACGTATGGTCCGTCACCGTGTGATATTTTTTGTCCTATAGTTTTAATGAAATGAACTAACCATTTGACTTTCTACATCATGATAGATGAGTAAAACAGTACATTATTACCAGATTTTAAGATAAGCCTTTATAGTATCAGGTGAAAATGACTAATTTGTCCGATAAATCCATCCTTAAGAATTTCAAATAATTGTTCCCTTCAGACCCTTGCAAAGAAAGAGGCAAACAACACATTCAATTTTTTGTTAAACTGGAGTGTCTCCTGATAACCCTAAAATCAGTTATTCATGGAATTTCTTTTGATTTAGATGGCTTGTGAGGCATCTTGGTCTTCTTCAAGTTCTTGACATTCTCGACAAAAAATCAATCTTAAATCAAATTTCTTATACTTTATATTGCTTGAAAGGCCTCTTACCAGGGATGAATTTTACTGGTATAGGTCGTAGGGCTAGTGGTAAACAAATTAATTTTTCATACCCGATATTTTTACTGGCCATGGCCGTAGGGATGGTGGTTAATCGTCTCGGTTGGGGGTGCACGTGCATCAGATTTTTGTCAAATCTATTTATCTCTCCGTGAAACAGCTTAATCACGCATAGCATGATAGGATACATATTTCCGAAATATATAAAAGGGTGGGGTTCTGGATGTCTCAGATTTAGCCAGTTAAGGTCGTTAATCATTATTGCCTAACCATTTAAGCCTGCAATTTGCCGTCTTGAATTTAAAGTAATCAAAATTATGATCCGGCTGTCGTATCAAGTCACTGAAGTGCATGCAAAAAATAAGCAAATCAGTCAATTTTTACTTACCGAATAACTAGCATTCTATTTCGTTTCTGTTTTATAAATTGTTTATAAACTGCGGCGAACTGGCCAAAGAAGTGTCTTTCTTCCTTCCACTTGCAAGCCTGTCCACTTCACCAATTTCAAACAAATGTTTTACATGACGTCATGCGGGTGGGATTTGCCGCAATTAGCGCAGAAAAATAGTGTATATGCTTACAGTATTAAACATTAGAAAAACTAATTATGACAGAAAGAGAATATTAAAAGGATTATCTGTTTTCATTACTTTTCAAGAATATCGGTAGAAGTGATTCTTATGAATTGATTCCTCATCATGTTTACAATCTCTGAATCTCTACGCATGATGGCAAATCACATCTTACGTCATAACCACCCTGACGTTTTTTTTTTTGTTGTTTTATTTTTTGTATTACACAAAATTATGCTATCATAGTTAACGAAATAAAAGAAAATAAACACAGTATTCCCGTTTTCAGCTTCACATTCAAGAGTCTTTTTTCATATTATTTCAAAAACGGTTTAAGAATCTTTTACAAATTACAGGGCGCATTCTTGGTGAACTCGAAATTCGTGATATAACATGTAGGTATATAGAAATTCGGCAAACAGTATCATACAGAACTTGTAGGATTCCAGCATTCGGATATTTTGAGATGTCTGCACTCCTACAGTTTGGGATGCCAGCATCCAGCTTTTTCGGGATGCCAGCATCTAGCTTACTTGGGATGTCAGCATCCAGCTTATTCGGGATGTCAGCATCCAGCTTATTCGGGATGCCAGCATCCAGCTTATTAGGGATACCAGCAGACGGAATATTTGGGATGCCAGCATCTATAAAAGAAAAAAGATTTCAAAGCTGAACATGATAGAAAATACACCTAGTATACATTTGGTGGATGAAATATTTCAAATGAGCAAAGTTAAGTGTACTTTGTTCATTATAATTTTTTAGATAAGAGAATATGCATGTAATTTGCGGGATTGATATGTTTCTTTTACATGACCACCAAAAGACGGTGCAAAATATCCGATACCTATATAAAAAAAGAAAATGTGGTATGATTGCAAATTGGACAACTATCCACCAGAAACCAAATGACGTAGGTGTAAACAACACATGCAACAGTTACTATAGGTCAGTGTGCGACCTTTAACAATGACTCGAAAAGTCAAAATGTAAAGTCAAAATGTATAAGGTTTTGCATAAAAAAGGTGAGCATAAATATAGAATAAAGATCGACTTTTTTCACATTGACTTTATCATGGTAAAATATCAGGTGAGGCCGCACACTTCTAAGATGAGTTTAGATAATAAATTAGGTGCAGCCTTAGGATCATGGATATCGTTTCCCTGACAAATTTGTGTGGTACTTTAGATACTTTTCTTTTTATTCAACCAAATGATTTTCAATCTTGTTTCTGCGCGTAAGAGCCACGTGTCCTCAGCAGCTTAAATCAGAATGTTAAAATATGGTTTTTACTAAAAGGATGACAAAATTAGTGTTTTTTTATGGAGAAAAGGGGGATGGAGGTTACGGTGAAAGTTGCTAAGCATTGTAATAGTTTTTAAATTCTGAATTAGCGGATAGCAAATAATTTGATGCAGATGATCATGAACGATTTTCGACTACGGCAGATAATAATTTTACCCTGAAAACATTTCCCAAAATGAGGGTCCAGGTGAGATATAAAACAAATGTATCTATTAGCTAAGCATCATTTCCTGTACTTTTCAGCCTTTCCTCAATATAAAATTATTGTCTGATCTGTTGTCAGGGGGGATTTTCGAAAGTTCAATATAACACTAACACAAATCTATTTACATATTTCATGGAAGGGCAGACTAGAATTTTTCAGAGATTGCAGACTAATAACCCAAGATAACACACACAAAAATGAGATTTTTTCCAACTGTATATCAGCCTGTATCGCTCTAAGCTCACCTGGATCAAAGGGCCATTTGAGCTATTGACTTGGCGACCGTAATTCAAAATAAAAATCTTTTCTGAAACTACTGGACCAAATGTAAACAAATGAATTTTTCTTAGAAAAAAGGATCTAAGGGGCATCGAACGATATCCACGGAATTTTCATGCTCCTCAAAATTAGTCTAATAATAAGTTAAATAACCGTCTAGGACTACCAATTTATATTTTGCTACAGAAAACAATCATCAGGAATGGTAGAAACGTATATTTAACAGTTTATATAAACTCTTAAAACCATAAATGTAATATAACCAACCCGTCAACTAAACCAAAACAAACAACATGGCCGACAACAACTCATATGCCGGCGCTGTTTCAAAACCAGCAAATCAAAATCATGATAATCAAAATGATAATCTTGAAGAACTGTCGTCAGTAAAGCCCGTATTTATCCTTGAGACAGATTTATTCGGTAATTCAATACTTCAACAAAAAGATTTCTTAACACACGAAGAAGTATTCAAAAGTATCGGCACAGAGATACCAAGATACCAAATGAAGGGATTACAAAGAGTCAAGGGAATGTGGCGCATTTACCTTGCACAAGAAGAAGCAAGAGACCACCTCCTCATATCTGGCGTATCTATACGTAATAAACTTTTAACAATCTATAATAAAAACCCAAGAATAACTGTAAATGACCAGCCAGAATATCTCAGAGTACGTGTCTCCAATATTCCATTATCAGCTGATGACGATCAGATTTTCGGGTTCTTCCAGTCTATAGGCGTAGTTATAACAAGTTATTTCAGAGAGAGACTGAGAATAGATGGTTTTCTCACTGACTGCCAATCTGGAGACAGAATCTTCTATGTACAACCATTGGAAGGCACTTTGCCCAGATTCACAAAAATTGGAAAGTACAATGCCAAAATTTATTATAGGACAAATCTACATAAATCCCTACATAACTTGTCAGAAATGTCTGAAAAAGGGACACAAACAAGAAAAGTGCCAAAACAATTGGATCTGTAACCAATGTGGAAAAGAAGGGCATAACGCAAAAGAATGCCAAACTCCAACTACAAAAGCATCAGACACTAAAGTGAATAACAATGATGATCAATCTGATTCAAGTGAAAGTGAAAGTGGGAATGAGACTGACATTGGTGATCATGTTGATCACAGTGAAATCCCACCTTCACAGTCCATATTGCAACCTACAGATGCAATAACAGATACATCAACAGAAATCAGTGAAGTCACAAATAAAGAAACTGAGTCTGAACTACAGAAAAAGAAACAAAACAAACAAAACAAAAAAGATAAAACAAAAAACAAGGCAAAATCAGAAGCAAAAGGTCCAATTGACTTTATTGTGAATTCTGAAATCAACACACCACTACAAAAACATGGAAAAAGAACAGCAACAACCCCAACCGATGAATACCACAATAGAGAAACTGACTCCAGCAACGCTTCAAAGACATAGGTCTAAGAACAGTTACCATATATCATGTTCTTTCAACATTTTCTACTGATCTCTAAATGATCAAAATGATATATACTTGTATAAACATCTGTAAATATTCCTATTTTATCTATAGCTATGAAAAACATAATAAAAAATATGTGGTGTATGATACAGTACCCTTAGATTGTATATACTCTGCACAATATCATTACAACAAATAACTTATATATAGATGTTTGTCAATATAGAATATATAGACCATGAATGAGATAATAAACGTTTCACATGAAATAACTAGTATAGTTATACATGAATATGTAATTATTTTGTTTTAATGTATAGAAAAATGTATATGTGCGTTTACGTCGTATAGCCCTATAAATATACTACAAAACACTTAGCTATTTACATAGATATGCAAATTAATCACATCGCTATCTCCACTCACCTGTGTAAAAAATGTAAACAAATCAGTTTGATCTATTTATACCTTTTTATCTATATAGATAATTATCAATATTTTATAGTAGCTGCGAAAATTTCAATATACAATCAAACAATATTTATCCATGGTATTAATGATTTCCTTAAATTGATAAATCTCCGTATTAGTAAAGACAACCCAAGTTGTCACGGAATAGAAGTTCCTTCATAATATAAGTTCCAAATGGAAACAATATTCTGGAATATTATTTCCACTGGAATAAATATTACAGTAAATGTTCCTAACGGAATAAATGGTATAGAATATTTGTTCCAACAGGAACAGATATTATGACATTGTTTATAGCAAAGTTTCCAGTGGAACTTCTGTCAGGCGGAACAAATATTCGTTGACAACGTGAACCGAACAATCATGTCTGTATATATATATCATACGCATGCGAAAGCATCTGAAAATAATCTTTCAGTTTATATGGAACTCTAATTTCGCTGTTATACTTTCTGAAAACTTTTTAAAAGTATACAAATAATTATTTATAAACAAAATACTTACCCATTTAGAAACATTTGTTATACATCCAACACAATTATATATTTCAATGTAAGGTATGCCGGTTAATATAGTGTCGATGCTCGTGGAAATCACCCAGTAGGCATCTGACGTTGTACCGATGTGGATATTTGGTTGAAAATAGGTCGCGACGTCGGCGACCTAAATTCAACGTCGGCTCAACGTCGAATTGCAAACGTCTACCGGACGTTGAAAAATGACGTCAATGCAACCTTGCTTTTTGGTCGCGACTATATCCAACGTCAACACAACGTCGGATAGGTCATATGTCGGTCGTCTTAATATTCTAAAAAAAAAAATTTCACGTGCAAATTATGCACGTATTATTTCAAATTGCTATAGATGTACCTATCAAAACATAATTGACCTAAGAAGAAATAGATATATCCCTCTACATAAAACAATATATATTCCATCGAATTCTGTATTCTAGTGTTTATTTTTATATCTCAATTTCATATTGATCATAAACACCCTCCCCCTTCCAACTGCCAACACGGAATCATCAATCGGAACTACTCGGCCTTTCTGGTTGCACGCGAGAATAATGGCCGAGTAGTTACGATTGACGCAATCACTCAATATACTCTTTAAATTATTTTTGTAGATAATTTTTCATGTGCGTAGTATACTCAATCTAATCGTAAAAGTGTGAAATTTATTAAAAAGGAAAATTTACTATGATATATTGATGTACGGATAATTATTATAAGAAATATTTTTTATGCGTGTTGTTTAGAGATTATTTAATAGTCTGGTTCCCGGTAATTTTCTTCCTTGAGCACAATGCAAATTGTTACGATAGGAACCAACATTAGATTTAAACAGGCGCGTACTCGTGAAAAACAACAAAAAATAACAAAGACAAAGATTAATCAACAACTAGAAGTAAATAAAAGGTTAGTGTTGTAATCGTAAAGTTTCATCTTTACATTTTAGTTGACAGTTTCCTGAAAATCTCTGTTAAATGCCCACGCCGACCTCGTAATTATAGAATTATATTTTTTTGGGGGAATAGAAATGAGAATATTATTAAAGGCTTTTTGGGGTTATAAATTTGAATCCATATGACATTATATTAGAATTATTAAGATTTGTTAACCTAAAACAATCCATCACATCTGTCACCATACACGTATGCATACATGATTATGAAACCCAATTTAGCAACAAAAAAAGGGGGTGAATTTGATGAGAAAAAAAAGCATTTTAGTTTTACAGAGCCCTTGTAGTTGATGGTTAATATGAGGCAGGTGTAACCTTAGTCCAAATAATTATGACGTCTTGTAAGGCTGTTTTTTTATAATTTTTTGGTCACCGTACGTACATGTACAGCGTCCAAATAATATTATTTATGAAAAATAGCCTTACAATTGCAAGACGTCATTATAATTTTGACTATTGTAAGGTGTGAAAGCTAGTGGACTGATTAAATATATCAATCGAAATAAATTATGGTTTATTATACATAACTTTCAGTTTCATGCAATGACATTTATTGCTTTTCCCAATTTTACTTCACCAGATGTATATCAGACCAGGTTTATAATTAGACACTCCAGGTTTCATCCATATGATATATTTATTATATTCCTTTGCCTGATCAGACATGTTTATGTTGCATGTGCATGAATTTAACTTCTAATACTATCAGATTTTCTTAGTACTGCAACACAAAAAATATGTGTGTTAAAAAAGGATCGGTAAAAAAATTAAGGTCATTTGGTAAAAAATATTTTTATGTCCACCTACGATAGTAGAGGGGCATTATGTTTTCTGGTGTGTAGGTCCGTCCGTCTGTAATTTTTATTTAGGTATCTATTTAAATTGCTTAAAGACCTCTCTCTTTAATTATAGAAATCATTTTACATCAATCATCTTGGGGTGTAAATTAGATACACCTACTCGGGCTAACACTCTTGTGGTGTATCTAATACATATTAACTTGTTAACTTTTTTTTAATGAGGACTTGACTGACTTGTTCTTATATAATTTGCAGATTGTTACCAAGGTCCCCTGCTTGAGTCACTAAAAAAAATGTAAGTTTATTATGAACCAAATAGGATAAAAAGAGAAGTCTCTAAAATCTATGTTTTAACTCTTAATTAAATATTCATTTGCAGTTTATCTTTAAAATAAAGCTTTTGTTACAGTTCAGTACTGTTCATTCAGTTATGATTTTATCCATCATAAAATTAAATAAAGATTCCTTCTCATCATATATTTCCTTACGGAAAAATCCTTGACACAAGTATTTTTTTATTTGACTAAATATATGCTATATTTATGATTTAATAATAATCTTGTTTGATAATTTTAGAATTTCAGAGAAAAGTGTTCCAACTCTTATTGGAACTGTGGACGGGGCTTAATGATCTGGCTGGGAGACCTATACAAAATGTAGGTGCAGGTGTATGTCCTTTGCCTGACTTATTAACATCAAAAGCAGACACAGAAGAAGACTTCAACAATATAAATGAATTGTTGAAGAGACCCCAAGAAAAAAAGACCATGGTAAAACTTTAAATATTATATTGTTGTCATAGAATTTAAAGATTTCATTTTAATTATTTAACATGAATAAAAATCCTTTTTAATTAACCAATTGTTAAAAGTGACAATTATTGCTATTTATGTTGATGCAGTGTTTCTTTATAAAAAATACATTGCTAAATTTGTCGTTTCCATGAGTTCTATATATTGCCACTCTATAATGATAAATTTGTATGTAATAAGTAATTTATTTTTCAGATAGAACATCTGAAAAGGATAGGGGGCAGTGATTATAAAGACAATGTACAGAAAATTTTGCGAAGGTAACTTCTATTTTTGTGACACTTTTATTTTATCAATATCTAAACTAGATTGTGGCATAATGTGCTATTTTACCCTTTTTGTAGAAAACTTACATAATTATAATATTGAAACATAAACCAGCTTCATGTATTTCTGAATTGACAACTAAATGATATGAGGTTTAAATATTCCAAACTGTTATAATCCTGTAATAGTAAAATAAGTTTGTGAATGAAATAAGAGTTCTTATGTATTTTCTGACTTTTTTTCAATTGAAAAATTTGTTGACATTTCAAAAAAAGGTTTTCTTCCTTTTCTGACATATATTTATCATTACAGAGTAATGTCCAATGAACTCCAGGCAAAATACAACATGAAGGGAAACCGTGGAAAATTAAATTTTGAATCCACAGAAATATGCAAGGTTATTGTGGGTAGGTAATTTATTTGCTTCTTTAATATTCTTTTAAGCAGTGTCAATACAGTTTTGGAATTGCATTGCCATTGAGCTTTTCTCATCACTTGGCATCCGTCGTCGTCGTTAGCTTTTACAAAAATCTTCTATGAAACCACTGGGCCAAATTTAACCAAACTTGGCCACAATCATCATTAGGGTATCTTGTTTAAAAAATTGTGTACGATGACCCGCCAACCAACCAAGATGGCCGCCATGGCTAAAAATAGAACATAGGGGTAAAATGTAGATTTTGGCTTATATCTCTGAAACCAAAGCATTTAAAGTAAATCTGACAGGATTAAACTGATTATCAGGTCAAGATCTATCTGCCTTGAAATTTTCAGACAAATCTGACAACCCGTTGTTGGGTTGCTGCCCCTGAATTGGTAATTTTAAGGAAATTTTGCAGTTTTTGGTTATTATCTTGAATATTATTATAGATAGAGATAAACTGTAAACAGCAATAATGTTCAGCAAAATAAGATCTACAAATAAGTCGTCATGATCACAATTGTCAGTCGACTTTAGGAGTTATTGCCCTTTATAGTCAATATCTCTGAAACTAAAGCATTTAGAGCAAATCTGACAGGTGGCAAAAATGTTCATCAGATTTAGAAAATCTAAATCTGATGAACATTTTTGCCACCTGTCAGATTTGCTCTAAATGCCCTGAAATTTTCAGACGAATCCAACAACCCGTTGTTGGGTTGCTGCCCCTAAAATTACTATCTTAGATATCATTATAATATCTAATATCTAATACTATTAATTATGATTTTAACCTTATTTTACATGATTTCCAAAGCATCAGTAAATACAGGTGAGCGACACAGGCTCTTGAGAGCCTCTAGTTGTGATTTTGGGTAATTTAAAAAAAATAAAAAATAAAACATGTCTCTGTGCTATTAAAGTTAAAAAAAAATGAGATTTTTTCAACCCTTTAGCAAGAAATAGACAAATTGGTTTATTTTAAAGCTTTGATTTATTTAATTCATAATTTTTTAAATATAGAGAAAAAATATGAAGTTGTTTCTCTCAAGATTATTTTGAATGTTTACCTTATATGTGTCATATGAATGAAAATTGACATATTCTTGATTTTAGCACTGTCTGGTTTCACAAATATTTATATTTTTTATTCCAGAAACTGCCAAGAATCTGTTTTCAGTAACTGAACATAACATTCTTCAGGTGACTGCAGCATGCCTGAAGTATGCACCTGACAGAATGGGAGGAGGTGGGCGTAAGAAAAAATCTGATGCAGCAGCAGGAATAGTAGCGGCCAACAATGGAAATGGAGAGGCCAACAATGCAAATGGAGCGGCCAATAATGGAAATGGAGATGCCAATAATAGAGATGGAGCTGATGATAGACAATGATGTTTTAAATGTTTAAAAAATCCCATATTAAATATGTATATGTTTTTGATTTTTGATTATTTTTTTTATATATGTATAACATCAGATTGTTGTACAAGGTAGTTGTGGTGACATGTTCACAAGCACTCAACATAAGGTTTCCAGAATTTCTGATGTTCAAGCACTTATTCAGGACGTTTACTAGTTTGAATTATGTTTGATTGACCCCTTCTTGACCAACTTAAGTACTTTGATCAGTACTTTACTATTTAAGAATGATGTGAAGACATCTGAGCATATTTAAGAGGTTTAATGGTGGTTGTTATTACGTTATATAGACGTTGTACTGACATCTGAGCATATTTAGAGAGGTTTATTGGTGGTTGTTATTACGTTGAATAGACATTGTACTGACATCTGAGCATATTTAAAGAGGTTTATTGGTGGTTGTTATTACGTTGAATAGACGTCGAACTGACATCAGAGTATATTTAAAGAGTTGAAATGAAGGTTGTTTTGACGTTGGATAGACGTTGAACCGACATTGAACTTTTTACAGGGTTCATCTTGCTGGTAGATCTGATGTTGTAACAACGTTGTACTGATGTTGTAACAACGTTGTACTGACGTTGTATAGACGTTTATCACGACGTCGGCTGGACGTCAGATTTTGACGTCTAAAAAATATCATATACAACCAAAATCTAACGTAGGTGCAACGTCAGGGTCCAACGTCTAAATGACGTATATACAACGTCTAATGTCTGCTGGGCAATTGTTACACATGTGAAGGTCGATATATTTTACCAGTCAATGATTCTAAATATAGAAACAGGTGGAAACCTATCAAAGTCGGTCAATATGGAATTAAATGTATGTGCGTACATGTATACATATTGCAACTCACAGGGTGAAGGTTAAATCTGTCATTGATGATATATGTGTGTCATTTATTTTGTCTCTAATTTCTATAGTTATAAATACCTGTATGTTTTATTTTTGTTTATTTATTTATCATCGAATACTTTTAAAAAACAACCAAGATGTCACTTAATATATTACACATATGTTCTTTAAATTGTCAGGGGTTGAGAAAACATGAAAAAAGAATTAGACTAAAAGAATGGATGAGACAACAGAAATGCAATAATATATGTTTAGAAGAAACTCATTTTCGGATAATTCTATAGACAAAGAATTCACCGGAGAATTATATCATAGTTTTGGAACTACACAAGCAAAGGGTGTTTCGATTTACATTAACAAAATAATTAAACATGAAATTATTGACAAGTATGTAGATCAAAAGGGAAGAATTGTTTTAATCAACATAGAAATTGATAAAAATTTATTTACTTTTGTTAACCTTTACGCCCCAAACACATGTAAAGATAGAAATATATTCTTTAAAAAAGCTTTAAGTGTCATTGAAAAATATAGCCTTGGTATACTTATTATAGGGGGAGATATGAATGAAACGCTTAATATAAAAGATAGAAAAAGTAATAGAAAAGATAAACAAAAAATAAAAAATAAGACAAATGCGTTGAAAAGTTTAATATAAAAACTAAAAGTTATAGACATCTGGAGAGTAATAAATCCAAATAAAACACAATATACCTGGAGAAGAAAAAATAATGAAGTAGCTAGTAGAATTGATTATTTTCTTGTTAGTCAAGACGTGAGACCTTGAGTACTCCACACTGATATAAGACCCGCTACAATTCAATATACAGACCGTCTAGCGATTTCACTTAAGATAAATCATTGTCAGGGGGAGAAAGGAAAGGGTTATTTCAAATTAAACAATAGTATTCTTAAAGACGAATCATACAAAATGAAAATAAACACTTTAATAGATAAATATGAAACATTAAGAGACCGAAAAGGTTTAGCAATCGTGTGGGATCTGTTTAAAATAGAGGTAAAGGAGATGACTATTGAACATTGTAAAATTAAAGCTAAAAATTAAAGAGATGAAATTAAAGAATTAGAACAAGAACTAAAACTTTTGAATGAAATTCAGGATAATGTCCTTGATGAAAAGAAAAAAAAATAACATAATAGATTCAATAAAGAAAACAGAAGAAATGTTACAAACTCTATATTCTGATAAAATAAATAGGGGCACAAATAAGAGCAAGAGTTAAATGGGTAGAAGAAGGCGAAAAAAGTACAAAATACTTATTGGGATTAGAGAAATCGAGACAGACAAGAAAAAATTTAACTGCTATTAGGGACAGTGAAGGGGAAATAACTGAGGATCAAGGTAAAATATTAGAAACGGGGAGGCATTATTATGTAAATTTATATACGTCAACTAAGCCAGACTTGGGAGAAATTGAGAATTATATTGAAAATACAAAAATAAACAGCAAACTAACTACACACGAAAGTAATGAAATTGAAGGAAAGCTGACAATAGAGGAATGTACAAATTCTGTTTTTAAAATGAAACTTAACAAAACACCGGGTATTGATGGTCTTCCAATTTAATTTTATAGATCTTTCTGGTCCAACTTACAATATTTTGCTGTAGATGTCTTTAACCATTGTTATGACAAAAAAGAATTGACAAATTCACAGAAACTAGGATTAATTACCCTTATTGATAAGAAAAATGACCCGTTAAATTTAGACAATTATAGACCAATTACTTTATTAAATGTAGATACCAAAATTAAAGCATATTCTCTTGCACAAAGACTTAAACCAGTATTTCATAAAATCATTCACAGTGATCAAAACGGGTATGTAAAAAACAGATATATTGGGTTAAATGTTAAATATCAGACAAATCCAAGATATTATAGACTATTTAGAAAAATTCAACGTAGACGGGGCAATTCTTTTTTTAGATTTTTCAAAGGCATTTGACTCGTTAGAATGGGAATTTATGTATTGTTCATTAAAGAAATTTGGCTTTCAGAAATCTTTATTGAAGTGGATAAATACTTTATATACAGATATAAAGGGTTGTATATTAAATAATGGGTGGATTTCAAGACCCTTCAGTATTGAGCGCGGGATCCGTCAAGGGTGTCCCGCGAGTTCTATAATTTTCGTTATTGCTGTTGAAATTTTAGCCTTAAGATAAAAAATTTAAAGGTTTTCAAATCAAACTAGATAATAAAACTCATACTCTAAAGTTGAGCCAGCTTGCAGATGACACCACTTAATTTTTAAATTCAAAACAAGAAGTTTCATTAACTTTGAACATTATCGAAATTTTCGGATCACTTTCAGGCCTAAAGCTTAATCGAAATAAAACAGAGGGGATATGGCTCGGAAATTTAAAATCCTGTAAAGATAAAGTTGAAAACATTAAGTGGACACCAGAACCGATAAAAGTATTAGGAATATATTTTGGACTTAATAAAAATGAGTGTAAAAAATAAAACTTGCACAGACAATACGAAAAATCGGAAAAAATAATTAAAGATTGGGATAATAGAAAAGTAACTATGTTAGGTAAAATAACTCTTGTTAAATCAATAATCCTACCAAATATACCTATGTTGCATCAGTAACAGAAATTGATAAAGAATATCTCGCAAATTTAAAAAAAAATAATATATAGTTTTATATGGAATAATAAACCAGAAAAAGTTAAAAGAGCTATAATAAGTAAAAATTATCTTGCCGGCGGGCTTAAAATGATAGACATAGATAAATATATAGAATCCATAAATATTAATTGGGTAAAAAGACTCATTGATAATGAAGACTCATCACCCAATTGGAAAGTCTTACCAAAATTTTACTTAGACAAGTTTGGACAAGAATTCCTTATATTTATAATGGACTTTAACAATATTTATCTAATCAATAAGCTAAAAGAAATTGTTCCAGAATTTTACTTAAAAATAATTATATCATGGATAAACTCAAAATCTGAAAAAGAATCAAATCGACTAGCATATAAGCATATCAGACAGCAACTAATATGGGGCAATAAGCATATCAAATTAAATGGTATATGTCTTATTTTCAAAAATTGGATAAACAGCAAAATTTTATTTGTAAATGACATAATTGATGATAAAGGAAAAATTAATCAAAATAAGATTTTAGATAAACTATCTTGCCATGTTAATTGGTTTTCGGAATATTCTAAATTGATGAAAGCAATTCCAAAACAGTGGTTACAAGAGCTCATAAAAGAAGAGTCAATCAAAACAAAAGTTGCTACCGACTCCGAATTTAAATTCAGATAGAGAAGGAAAAATGGTACCAATAAAAATATTTTCCTCGAAAGATATTTACATCTCGCTTTTAAATAGATATTATGAGAAAGCAATAGGATTTAAAAAATGGGACAGAATTCTAAATTTAGATAACAATACAAGGAAAAGAGAACAAATGCTGTACTTCATCTTTAACTATATCCCAGATAATAAAATGAGAATGTTAAGCTGGAAATTTCTACATTACATTTTACCAACCAAACAATTACTTTTCTCTTGGAAAATAACTAAAACTCCTCTATGTAATATATGTAATGTCATTGAAGATTATGATCATTACTTTCTGACATGCAAATATCTAAAATCATTTTGGGATCAAATAAAACTAATACTAGACAAACTTAAAAAAGGACATCATATAATATCACTGGCATCACTTTTGTATGGATATAAGATAAACGATACAAATTATTACAATATCAACGATTTTCTAACAATCATACTTCTTACTATATATAAAGTGTATTACATATCCGAGCAGAAAACAAAACAAATTAATGTGTTTGAAATTTTTAAAAGTGAATTTCTCCAACATTACGAAATATTGACAAATAAACAAGGCAAATATAAAAACTTCTACAAGGAAAAACAATATTCGAGAACTTGATCCATCAACAAACATGACCACTGTTTGTTAAAAATAGATTTGAGTTGTAGAACTGCAGTTTTTGATTTATATATCGCATAAGGTCAAGCAGTAAGAGCAAACCTTGCTGAGTAATAATATTCAACAGGTCATTTTCCATTTACCTTTCACTTTTCAGAAAGTTTAGATCACCCATTTTGAACTTATTGTACCTTTTGATTTCCATTTTTAGCA